TTATCGAACGACCGTAGCGCTAAAATGACACGATTAGCATTTCCGTCGCGTACATTTCACCTCCTGACTTCGCAGATATACGCATGTTTATGACACATTGCCGTAAAATATGAAAACTGGATCTACGAGAAAATACTTCAAAAATATTTCAACAAAATATTTCAACAGAAACTACATTAACTACGTTCAGCAGAGAAAGCAGTTTTACAATTGTTGTAAAATTCTTTAAAGGCTTTAATTGTTTCATTTTTAGATAAACTTGTGATAATTTATCTAATGGATAAATTAAAGAATAAAAGCAAGATAAAGTAAGAAAGTAAGAAAATGAGCTGAAGTTTATCAAAAGGTGGAACAACGCAGCTTAATATGATTTATTTATGCATTTAGGTCCAGTGAAAAATTAAGAGCAAGACCAATCATGTTAAAGAAGTTTACACATATAAAGTGTTTTCTCTGCTGAACAGTCAAGAATTAATTTGAAATATAAATGTATGAAGAGAGCAGGGAAGTCTTGCTTTTAAATTTCGGAAAGGAAAAATAATGAAATTATGAAAATCATTTTTATGACCAAAAGTTAACTCGTTTGCTAATGCATATTTCAAGAAAGTTCACTGAAGATTCTCAAAGACTTTAATAATAGTAATCGACTTTCGTAAGACTTGAATAAAAAGTAAATATTCAACAAGGGCGAGTGAGAGTAAAAGAATTATGATAAACATCATGCGTAAATTATGTTTAACTTCTTTTTACATCATTTACAAGACGATCAAACGTTTCGACTCAATTCAAGCCATATCATCAGCATTTCATTAATATAAATGATGAATCTACAAAAGATAAATATCAGAATTGCATCTTCGGTGAACTCATCGTTCACATTAATGAAATGTTTGAATTTTAGATATCGCTGATGATGGCTTCGTCCAATTGTCTTGTAAATAATATAAGAAGTACAATTTATAATGGTTAAAGTACAGCACACCGCGCAGTTCTTTTACTCTCACTTGTCCTTGTTGAATACTTTTTATTCAAATCTTGCGAAAATCGATTAATTACTATTAAAATCTTTGAGGATCTTCAGTGAATTTTCTTGAAATATGCATTAGCAAACGAGTTAATTTGCTGAATATTTACTTTTTATTTAATATAAGTGTTTTAATAAATTTTGTGCCAAAAGAAATTTTGCCTCCTTTCTGATTGAAATCCTATATTAATCCTTTTTCATTATAATATATTTTTTTTCTTTTATTGCAAATTTAAAATGCGCTGTCATATATATATTCATCGGTTTGAACAAGATCACGGAAGTATTCGATCCATCATCAGAATTAACGCTATGTATGTCCCGTTTGATTGATCGTAGCAATTAAAATGTTAGTAAAAAAATTAGGATAATAAATTACATTTTGTAACATCATCATAAAACTGGATCTGCAATAAATAAAAAAAAATTTAATGCACAAATTACATTTTCCTTAAGAATTAATTTCAAGCACATTAATCTTCTCTTATTTTTAATATAGCTCATCTCTTTTAAAGCAAAACTAAAATATATCAAAAATGCAGACTATTTGTTGATCGGCTTGGGTTAGAAATTGGGTTAGGAATTATTCCATTACAACAGAGAATATGCCAAATGTGTGATATGTGAGCCAACACCAATATTGGATTACATATGAATTGGTGTCGGCTCACATTGGCATTTCCTTTCTATATCAATGTATTTATAATTCAATTTATTTTGGAGAGCCTTATTTTTGTATTTCTAATTTATTTTATTGTCCTTTATAAGAATTGCCTTGCTCGATCGATAATTCGAATATTAGAACATTATAGCAAAAAAAAATCAGATAATGATATCGCTTGTAATCATTACGTGAAGAAGATGATATATTGAAACACGCAATTCAGGTCTTTTATATTGTATTAAAAAGAGATATAAGAGAAGATAATGCTTAAAATTAATTTTTAAGAAAAAATGTAGTTTGCTACAGTTGTTTTTTTATTCATTACACTGGAAAAAAAGGGTCTAATGCATTAATTAAAATTCTAGTTGAAAATGAACAAATTAGAAGTTTCTCGTTGAATTTATAATTCTAGTTGAGATGATCCTAATTGAATTGAAAATTTTAATTGCTTTGACCAAAATCTTCTGATTCGCTAATTTTCAACCAGAGATTTTTTCACGAGAATAGATCAAGGTTATGCTCTTTTATGAAACTGAAAGGAGATTGTATCACCGGCAATGAATGTGGAATCAGAATTATTTATAAAACGAACTCTCTTTCAATTCTGTGAAGTTTAACGCTACGAAATAAATGCTATATTAGCGAGATTTTTAAACTGATGACATTTAATTTATTTATAATTCGTCCTCACGTTATTGTATAATCAATACGAAATACTCTCACATTTTAGCTTCGCGTAACTCAGTAAATAAAATATCGAATCGATCTTTCGTTCTATGCAATTTTTGTTTTGTAGGAAGTCAGAAGCGCATACATTGAAAAAAATACTTAATAACTACAAAATTAAATGAAATACGTTGAGAAAAGCTACGAGCCAAAAATAATGTATAACTTAATATAGATTAACGAAAGATAAAAAGTAGCGCTATATGAAAACGATTACAACAAACGACGTTTTGACTCCGACCGAGCCATTCTCAATTAAACATATAATACTGATAATTATAAATATACTAGTAATTATAAACGTAATACTAATCATTATAAACTGAGAAAAATGTTTGGTTGAAAATAGACAAAAACCAGAAGATTCTGATTAATTTAATTTAACATTTAATCAGAATCTTCTGATTTTTGTCCATTTTCAATTAAACATTTTTTTCAGTGTACAGGAATTTTTCAGACAGAAATTTCCAAAGTCTCTCTACATTTATTTCAATTCAGGTAAAAAGATCGCGACGCCAAAATTCTAGACGAATTGGTATATCTCGTTCGACGATTGAACGAGCCTTCCGCAAAGGAGAAAAGTCAACATATCTGGTCGCCCGTAATCGATCCTTCGTACCTTTTCTCCGTCTCTCCGTTAAATAATAAAACGGATACGTTCTACGCACGCACTTGCCTCACGCACACAATTTTTCGAAACGACACAATGCGGTACGGCAAGAAAACGGATACGATCCGATATATGATCCGCTCTCGCCCGAATCGGGGTAACGATTGCCTGAAACAAGTGCGTCTACATCATTAGACGCGCGTCGGAAGGAGCCTCTTCCCTCGCCACACCCCTGTTGGCGCAACGACGAAGACGACACGTCGGCGGCACTATAGGTGTTTACATGCACGTGTGTTGTTAACGCGCACACGCGTCGTCCCGGCTGATCGATTCCGTCGGGAAATCCGCGTCGCGCAATATCCAGGACGCCCATGGGATTCGCACGACTGCAAATATCCCGCAACACTTGGCACACGTTCAATGTCAAAATATCATGTTCAGATGCTGCTGGATTGATTATGGCACCTTTCCCGCGAGTGCGACGCAATGCGATCCCGAGATTGTTATGTACACCCTGAGTTTCACCGAATAGATTTCTGTTAAACTATAGAAAACATAGAAAACAAGAGTTAAACTCCCTCTATTCTGATTGGAGGAAAAGAAGAAGCATTCCCAGTCTTGCTGAATGGATTTCCGTTAAAGATTTGGCTCTGAAGCCAAGAGCCAAACTCTCTCTACTCCGACCTTGCAGTCGACGGTACCAAAAAAAGTGAAATGCTTCCCAATCGTAAATGGTGTAAAGTCAGAATCCAAAATCCGCAATAATATATGAAAAAAGAAGATAAGTCTCCTTGAAGTTTGGACTTGGAATTCAATAATTTTTGTAATGCTTTTTATTGTTTTTATGCAAGGCTCATGCTTGTTATCGATGCAGCACTGATTCCAAGGGGTGGCCCAGACGAATGCGTCTATCACATTCACGTGCTACACTGAAAACGCATGCGCCCATCGTCGGCAACAAGTTGGTGTCAGCACCGACCGTACTCCGGAACGCAACGACTCCACGAAAGGAAGCGTGGAGAAGTGTGCAGTGGCGTGAATATACATATAAACGGCATCGATAGGCCAAGGACAAACTGACGACGCCATTAGTGGGGTGGTTTCCTCCCCCTACAACCACTTAAAAGGGCCACATTTGGCGAATACCATTACTATCACGAGTCCCACCAAGCTTCGTTTTGTATTGAAGAATAGAATCTTTAGTGCATAGATAAAATTAAAGATTTCTAGGTAGAAACCTTGAATTGATTTTATCAAGGAATTCTTGTAAATTATCCCTAGTTATCAGGAAAATTGATAATCGCCGAACTAAGGACTTTAGCAACTAAACGTTATTTGTCGTTCAATATAAGACTTTTGTTCACTCATCACTATTACCTTAGATTGTGATGTCAGAAGCGCGAAAATACACGATAAAAATTCTGGCCATGTGAAATGAAAATAAAATGGATTGCAGTGTTCTAATGAAATTAGAAATACACCGCAATCGATAAAACCAATTTATAAAGTGCATCGAAAATTCCTTTTATTTTGTTAAATACTAAATAATCATATGTGTTTACGGAAATAAACGGTTATGCATAATTCAGTTTCATATATCTAGAAATAAATTATGCATAACTAGAAATAAAATAAGCTATGGCAAACTATTAAATTAATAATATAGCATAATAATATAACAGAAATAAGTATGTGTAATTTAATTTCTCCCCAAAAAAATAAAAATATAGTTTTCAATATATTTTACAAATTTATTCTGTTAATTGCAAATATTGTTTTATTAAAAAATATTTCTATTCAAATATAATTTGCCAGAATTGTTATTGTACTTTTTTGCTGCTGATGTCATGATCTGAGATAGTAGTGATGAGTAAACAGAAGCTCTAAAGCGAAGTTCGTTTCAATAATAATTTGATTCATTATCTACGTAGAACGTATTAATTCTAAGTAATTAATTGATAAATTAATTTACTTACCGGAATCCGGTGATCCGGTCTCCTGCAGCTCGATGTGCTCCCGCGTTCTCCGTTTGCTACTGCCACGTGTAATGGGATCCAGACGAAGACCGATATTGTCGACATTATCGATGTCTCCGAGATCGATGGGGCTGCCGATGATGAAGGGCCCGGTGGATTCCTGTTGTGCGCCGTTGTTCGCTCGGTTAACCGCAGGTGACGCGTTGTCGTTGTTGTTACTGCTGCCGTTGTGCAGGGATGTGTCGTCCATATGCGGTATGGAAGAGAGATCCGGCGGGGTGAACGGTCGCAACGGCCCAGGACTGGGAACCCGGGGGTTCCCCCTGGCTGGTTGCATTGACTGTGCCGGCGCCTGCAATGAAATCGACGACACGATCGATTTACTCGTGACCTTTCACCTCACCAACGCGAGAATACATAATGCATAGCTATAGTCAATGCGAGAGCTGATTCGTATACTGATTTCGGTACGCTGAGAAAAAGATAAGATATAAATTAAGAAAGAAAAATCGTATAGTATCGTAAGTTCCAAGAAATTTGGTATTATAGTGAATGGCAAAAGTTCTGAAACAGCTAGTATCTCAAAAAATATTGATTTACTTAAAAAATATTTGAAACAAAAATAATAGGGTTTCCAAAAAGTAATCAAATGATGATATTAATTTGACCTTGGAATGATCTGAGGAAATGCTTTCAAGGTCAACATAAAAACGGTCTTAAACGGATTCAACTCATTTTTCATAGTATATCTTTATAGCTGACGTTGAGACGTTTCCAGAACACTGGTTACAAACTTTTTCTTCATAAGAACTTTCCGAGTTTCCGAACGGCATTTGAAAGTTACAGTATCGCCGGCATTAGCATTAAATTTCTTGGAACCTATGAACCTATACGGTTTATTTGTCTTTTTTTTTAAATTTACATCTTATGTCTATTAATATCAAAGATTTTCACTAATTTGTTGTACAAATCGAGATGATCTTTGGTTAGAAGGTTTTTAACGTTCGAAGAAAAGAATATCTTATGTTCAGAATTTGAATCGTATTGTCTGGGCATTATCAAATTTTAGATTAAAGTTAATGCCGATTTAGGATCAAAATTATCTCATTTTACGGTATAGTAATATTTTATTAATCGAACATTTGATTGAAATTATTTTACTAAAGCTTTTCATCTAACTATATAATTTCTGATATTATTATTAGATTTTTTTCAATGTAGCAAAGAATAAATGACGCGATGGTAAGAAACAACTAATATGGAATTCATATCAAAGATTTTGTAATTTCCTTTAGTGACTTCCTTTAGTTTCTTAACCGATTAATCATCGATATTAATATAATATATATATATATA